TAAAGGCTTCAACTAGTTAACTATTAAACTTCTTGTGCCTCACCAGTTAGCTAGTAAGGTAAAAGAGCCTTAACTAGGTAACTGGAAAAATTGAGTCTCGCAAGTCAACTAGTAAATTAAATATGGGCATTAGCTATTGAACAAGTAAACTTTTGAGCCTAACATGTAAACTTGTAAGGTGATGAAGTTTTTTGAGCCTAACAGCTTAACAAGTAAAGTTGTAGTTAGTTGAACTGGTACACATTTGGGCCTCACCAGTTAACTAGCAAGATAAACATGGCTTTGACCAGTTGGTAACACTTTGAACCTTAGTAGTTAAGTAATAAGGTTGAAAAGACATTAGCTAGTACACTAGTAAACATTTTGAGCCTCACTTGTTAAGTAGTAAGTTATAAAAGGCATCAGCTACTAAACAGGTAAACTTTTTAAGCCCCAGTAGTTTACTAGTAATGTAAAAAGGCTTCAACTAGTAAACTATTAAACATTTTGACCCTCACTAGTTAACCAGTGAGTTAAAAAGGCATAGGATAGTAAATCGTTGAACATTTTGGGCTTCTCTAATTAACTAGTTAATTAAAAACAGGTATTAGCTGGTAAACCAGTAATCTTTTGAGCCATTTTTGCCTTCAAAAGTTAACTGGTTAAGGGAACTGATGTCTGAGGATATGGAATAAATGCTAGAAGGGCTTACCATATGCCATACAATTACTACTACCACTAGTTCTACTACTGCTATTACTATAGTATAATATTACCACTACTGGCACAAATAATACTAATACTAATACTGTGACAATATTGTCAGTGTTGACATTACTGTGTTTTATAACGGGCGGCTCTCTGAATATCCAAACAAAGCATCATTATATAACACTTTCATGAAATTGAACCTGTATTCACAACACAAACATCCAAATATAGCTGCTGCTGCTGCTGCTGCTGCTGAAGAAGACCATGTTTGAGCTACACCATGCGCTTTTGATGCTTTTTTCAAAAGGAATAATGCATGTTTGTTCAGACGAGTGTGGAGGTTTCTGTGTCATACAGTGCTGGGACCTGCTCTGCTCTCTGCATGTTGTTATTTATGCTTCAGCTGTCACAAATCATTAAGCATTATTAAAGGGTAAACTGCTCATTTTGCCACTGTGTTAGCCACTTCTCATTAGTGTTGATTGTGAGCCACAAGATTACACAACCAGCCGGTCACACGTTCACCTAATTTCAGAGCAGTAATGAACTTACGTCACCTTTTGTTTCCAGACTTGTACCCTTGATTCACTTTTACAAATCCACAAACTCAATTACTACACCACTAGGATTTTTAATTGAGCACAGTATAGCTGAGGAACAATCTCATCATGTTGCCGCGCTCGCTCAGCCTTTTTAAAACAGTAAGTGGTAACTCAAGCAATCAGGAAACAAGGAGGTATTTAAAGTAAATGGGCACCTAAGCGGAATATAGTTCTATTAGCGAAACAGTATTGTACATGTACAGTGTGGGAGCAAACAGGTGGTAATGGAAGCAGTTAAGAGCAGTCAGGTTTGAAACAGAGGCTGTTGTTGTTGGCAAAAATCAGAATGCAGTACATGATTTTAAAAATGTATTCAATGGGATGGACAAAATAACAAGGACAATTTCAATGCAATCCAACGCAGTAGGCCTAGATAACTACCTTTTAGATTTTAATGCTCAGTTTTTGTTGACACTGTTGCTTTAAGTCTGTTTGTTGTTTAAATCAATACCTGTAGACACTATGCAGGTATTGATTTAATTTGCAGGTACTTCCACCATCTGCATGTTCTTTGTATTAAAAGCTAAAAAAAAAAAAAAAGAGAGACTTACAAACATAGATCAGAGACCTTTACGCACTCATAGAGCTGTATGTTGTAAAGATGCAAATAAAACAAACATGTATCGTCTCTGTCATGGAAACTCAACAAGAGCCATGCTTTCCTTTGATATTCAATGAGTGGTCACAGTGAGCTGCCCAGTAACAATATACACTGATGAGAGCTGTACAATATGTTCATTGTGACTGTTGAATAAATTAAAAAAAGAACAGCTACAGAGCAGCTGTTCATTAGCTGATGGGAATTTTGTTAAGGCAGATCTGTACTTAATGCAGTCGGCCACTATACTATGAATACATGGGTTTAAATCTACAGTGGTTCTCTGAAAATGTCACTGATGCATGGAACTGAATGTTCATCATAATAATGATAATTTTAAAAAAAAAAAGGTCTGGCTCACTTAAAGGGTAACATTAGTATTTTTAACCTGAACAGGATTTTCCATGTTTTTGTGTCTAAGTGAATAATGGGAGCAACAATTTTCAAAACTGGTCCAGTACTGAGTAAAAGTGTTGTAGCCGGCAGCTGTGAAACAGGCTGCAAAGTAACCATCTGGGGCAATTATGCACCATCACTTTACATCCACTAAATGCATTTTTGCCACTGACAGGCTTAGGTTATAATTCTACATGTCTGCTAACATTATGGAAAGGATCTCTACAGACATAGACCTTTTTGCTAAAGAGTAACGTCCTTTTTCTTTAACCACAAACAGCCCCAAAATCACTGACATCAAAGCCACCAGACTCCATTTAAATAAACGGTAATTAAAACGTGTATAGCGCCAGCATATTTTCAGAGCTGACTGGGTGAATTAAGAGTTTATTTTAACCAAACCAGAGTTGGTGACTGTTGGAATTGTAGAAAGACGAACCACAATGGCTTTTTTGAGTTTTCCACAACATGGTCTGTCTCTGTTGGAGTCCCTTCCTTAGAATAGCAATCTGAGCCTGTCAGTGTCACGGGTGTGGTTAGAATCCAGACGCAGCACCAAAGACAGATGGATAGTTTGTAATAGTATTTAAGGAAATTACTGGTCAAGCACAGGGTGAGCAGGCAGGTAAAACAGTGTGAGTCCATTTGTTGGTTCAGAACCTCCCAAGACACAGGTACGATCGAAAGTGCTTGATGTGGCACACCGAAGCAGAGAGCAGGTGAGTCAGTGGTGTCTGCTGAATGCACACAAATGGCGAACAGTTCAAATATCTGCAACGACACCGTTAGGGCGTTGGCAGATGGTGATGTCTGAAGAGCAGGGAGTCGGGAACTAGGAGTACATATGGGAAAAGCCACCAGACATGCGCAGAGCCGACTGTAGGCAGCAAGGGTCTTGACACACAGAATGGCAGAACGTGCAGCCATGTGGTAAGGTAATCCACAGCACAGGAAATCACAGACAGCAGAACAGGTAAACTCACGACGGAGAGCTGGGTGATGGTCTCTCCACACAGCCATGGGGAACAGGCAAACAGAAACCAGGAACGTAGAAGCAGAACTCTTAGTCAGGGACAGAAGGCTGACTGGTTTAACAGGGGAGCAGACGAAACAGGAGAGTCAGAGACAGGCAATGTCGGCAACAAGAAAGCAGTCCGGGAATAAACTCTGAAAAGTCTTGCATGAGTATAAAAAAGAACAGTCTGGCAAGGAGAGTCTGTGAAGCAGGAGTCTTTATACTGGCAGGAGGTAATGATCCACAGGTGAGGTGCATTAGCTTGACGAGGTGGGTGTGGTGGACCAGCAGGAGTGGGAGATGTATGGACTGGTGATAGGCTGGCAGGTAGGTGGCGTGGCTAGTGGAAATTTACTGGGTTAACTGAGTGGCATGTATGGCAGGTCGACAGTGCCCACTGCGACAGTCAGTGACAAAAACTCATTTAGTGATCGTAAACTGACGGTGGTGGTTACATTGCAACCTGTTTCGCAGCTGCCAGCTGCAGAGCTCTCGCTCAATACTGGATCAGTTTCAAAAATTGCTGTTCCCATTGAAAATAAGGTCCAGGTAGAAAAATAGAGAAGTTACCCTTTAAACGGTAATTAAATGACCATTTTGAGCCTCATAATTTGTTAAAAAATTGGAATTATATTGTTTTTGTAGGTGTTTAAGTCGAGGTTTGGAATTACCACACAGCCACCATGTTCGGACAAAGGTCTTTCAGCAGAATGATGACAAATATGAACTGATATCTTCATCTCCTTAACTTTGAGTTTTTAATGATTCAAAGGTGGTTCTTTGCAGAGAATGAGACCAACAGGCAGCATATATTGAGCCATCTTTGGCCTGGTAGTTGCATTAAAACAGACCACAATGAATGCTGCTGCTCAAACGTTACTGTCTTGTACTTCCTACTAATGACTAAAATTGTGTGAGATCTCACTTTAGCGCTGTGATGCAAAAGGTGAGACATGAGAAAAGCAACATATGTCCAGTATAGGTGCTAATAAAGCTCGTTTCGAGGCTTGTGGTGGTGTTGTTCTGCAGACTGTTCAGGGCTTATATAACAGCTTCCTGTTTCTTTTGGTAAAAATGATAAGTATAGAACTGAACAGATACCTCTTGGAGTTAGGTTTTAATGAGATATGCCTCACAAATGTCACTATCATGTCAAATGTCATTCCTGCAGGTGCACTGTAATGGATTTCTGAATTATATTGGCAGATGCTGCTTTGCCCTTTGCAGCTAGTAATATAAAATGAGCATTATCAGAGACTAATATTCTTTATCAAAATGTTGCTAAATCAGGCTCAGCTCAATCTCGCTGCAGCTAACGGAGGAATTAAATCGTCTTGTTGAGGAAGGAAACAATGTGTTAAAACACTTTAGAAAGGAAGGAAGAGAGGTGGCATCAGCTCAGAGACAGGAACAGCAATTCAGAGAAAAACCAAATCCGCCCCATGTGACCACGTCTGGTTTCCTTCTGTTTTAGCATATGCGTCAGAACATGCTGTTCTCTCAATAAGGCCTGTTAGCCTCTGTTGTGCAACACATCACGCAAAGAGCAGCCTAGACAAATGAGTCGTTCTAGTCTCCTCCGTTTTCTAATTAATTCTGCCGCTAATGATTTGACTGGGGGGCGGTCCATGATCACAACATCCATCTGTAACATGAGCTTTCTAATAGGTCACACAGAAACAGAGACAGAAGACACTTCTTTAGTTTGCTGTTTTCGTTTATTGTGTTATTTGTCTTCCATTTTATCTAAAACCATTCATGGTGGAGTTACATGACTCTGGAACACAACTCGAACACAGGTTAACTTTCTATATCTATACAATTGTATTTACATTTTAGCATACAGAACAGTCTATCATCAGAAAAGTGCTTTAATGTAGTGGAAGAGAAAGACCATGCAAGGTGAAGAGGACTTACAAAAAGCAAAACAATGTGCTTAACAAACTATACTGTACATATCTTGACAAAAACATAGAAAATAAAAACTCATAGCATATTTCATCCACAGTGCACTGTGTTTTCATAGCTTCATTGTGATAGACATCTATCATAATAACTATATATCTTTTAATGTTGTACTCTAAATAGTACTACTGAGAAAGTGCAACCGTAGAGGCGGCACATAGCTGACATTCATTCAAAGTGAAACAGTTAAAAATGTACACACTGGACCTTATGTACATTTACAAGCATTTTTCCAACACAGCTGCTCAGTGGGCAAAGCATCAGAAACACAGTGTCTCTGTAGAACCAGGCAAAGAACAATGAAAGGGGAAAGAGTAAGTGAGGAAGTGGCTGCTATAATGAAGCCAAGCACTCTTGCTACAAAAAAAAGCACACACAAAATCCAGCCATATAAAGTCTGAGATACAAAGTCAGCCCTCGCCTCCATCATGAATGTCTTGGCTTGGCAGGTTGCTAACTTGCAGTTTGAAAACTGGTTCTCAGCTTTGCCCACTGATATTTAGCTCAGGTAAATGCTTGTGCACCCACAATCAAGTCTGTGAAACAGTTCCAAAGTCAAACATAAGACTCCTTGGCGTAAGAAAATTCTTCAAACACAGGCTGGCTACATCTCCGTGACACAACCTCACGATGACCCGCAGACACAGACTCGGACATCGCTCTCTGGCGGAAAGGCCGTCGCTGCTCGACATTGTTGGCTATGTCCTGCGCTGCCTGAGAGAAACAGTCTGTGTACTGATTGACGGAGCAGGTGGGTGGGTGATCATAGTTCACAGAGGACGGACGGGAGCGTCTGTCCAGCTTGATGGCATCGAGTACAGTCATTGATCCATACTGTGGAGGAAGGCCCGCACCCTGCACTGCCTGATGGTATGATGGAGGCCTGCAGGGCAACTTGCTGTCCACCTGCTTAAACACCTCGATGGCCGACAGAGGGCGCGGTCTGTGCAGAAGCTCAGCCGAAGGATCTGCTTCACTCTGAGAGTCCTCCTGGAGAGTTTCACAAGGGAAGGAGTTTTCTTTCTGAGAGTCTCTCTTCACGCTGCTCCTGTTGAAGGCTCCTAAGCTCCTGGTCCTCATTAGGACTTTACTGGTGACTCTCATAGACTGGGAACGCCTCTTCTCTTCTGTAATCGGTTTTACAACGTCCTGCTGAGCCTTTGCAGCCATTTCAGGCTGACTGGTGGTGCTTGCTCTCCTGGAGCAGCCTGGCGACCCCACAGGGGAGCTGGTGAAAACAGAGCCCTCTGACTGATTAGAGGCAGCGCTCTCCAGGGAAGAGCACGAGCAGTTAGCCACCATGTAGGGCAGTGGGTCCATGTTGGAGCTGCTGCTCAGTCTTGGAAAAGACAACACTGACCTTGCTCCACCTCGTTCTCTGAGCAAGAAGGAGTCGTCTGAGATCTGCTTTTTCAGAGGCTGCTCCTCGAAGTCTCTTCTCTCCACCGAGCAGTCGTCGTGGCTCCTGGAGTGGCTGCAGAGGCTCTCCAGATCAGGGGAGAGGAGGATGATGGGCTCAGAGCAGCGACGGTTGAATGATGCCTTTGCGTTGAACATAGCGTCAGCTTGCCAAGAGGTGGGGGTGCAGCTGTGACTGAGAGAGGAAGAGGACCCCGTCTCTCCATGTGTGGAGCTGGTGCTCTCTCCTACCTCTCCGTCTCCATCTGGGTCGGTGCTGTCATACGCGGAGTCATGATGCTGAGAGGACAGCGAGTCTGCAGAGTGGGGAAAGGAAGACATGATTAGGATCCCCGAATTGTACAATAGTTGATCTCAGTTGCTCAATTTGTGCAAATATAACTTCTACTAGGTCTTTCATTTTCCCATGGCCCCGAGTCATACTTTATTTCACCTGTTTCTTGTAGGATTTACCGTGAATACGGATGGAATAGTTAACTCAAAATCATGCCATTTGTGGGTGTCATGGATCATAAAGGTACATATGCAGAGGGCAACAGTCATGTCTCTCTTCAGGGTTTATTTTGTAGTTGGTAGTAGGACCAATATCCAAGCATCAAGAAACAGGGATTGAACAAACATTGTCTCCTGGAGTGCCATTTTTGCACTAACCCATGCTACTAATTGGTGACGCAAAACAAAATGCACCATTTGTTATATTTCCCATCATATTGGCAATTCCACTGCTAGTCTGCCATATAAAAATTGTAATTCCCTAAACATATTGAGCTTGAAATCAGGGTTGAGTTGAGACATTAGGGAGGAGGGTGTTGCAGAAGTCAAGGGGAGGGTCCAAATCATACAGTAATAACCCTGGGGAGGAACCCTGGTCTTGTTTTTGTTTTTTAAAAGTCAAACATAAGTTTCCGCCCCCTCTCCCCACCTCAATAATTTGCATACAGTCCCTAAAGGGAGATAATAACAGAGATTTGAGTGCTGTGTAAATGTACCTGCATCAGTATCCAGCAGATTTGGGATATTCTCTCCAAGGATCTCACAGTGCTCGATCAGGAACTGAGTTAGCTCTGTGACCTGAAACAAATCAGAAGAAGAAACACAGTGAGTAAAATGAACAACTGAAAATAAGATAAGGCGTTCAGTAAATCAAAGCTGAGGCTCAGAACAGATATTGTCTAGACAGCGCTTCATTCGGACAAGATTGTGTTGCTGTTTTTTTATTTGTACTTTACTAAACAAACAGCTAACAAAAGTCTGTGCATCATACTTATGAAACCTTTTGAGGTTTTCTGCACTGAGAAACCACAAAGCTTCAAAGCATCAAAAGTGAGAAAGTACACTCATAACACGTCTATCTACCTTCTTCATCTTCTCCTTCTGCTCATCCAGCGGCATGTCGTCCAGCTGCAGCAGCGTGGGGGCGATGCACACTGCCAGGTTGTAGGCGTCCATCTTGTTGGTGTCAGCACTCTCGAGGATGTGATGGAGGATGCAGAGTAGGTGCTGCAGGAGGAGCTTGTTGGGTGCCGGGAGGTCGTCTACCACCCTGTCAGCGGGTAGCAAAAGAGGGAAGGAAGGAAAAAAAAAAAGAGAACAGGAAGGAGCCGTTAGCTTGGCGCTCTTTTTTTAATGTTTAAAGTTTCTTCCTTCTTTTAAACTGAAGACAGACTAAAAAAGAGAAGTGGTCTGTGTTCAGCCTACAGATGTAGGGCATTGGGAATGTACTGCAAAACTCTCCCCAAAATACCCATCTGTTTACATGTGATCATGAAGCAGTCCTGTAAATACCAACACATCTCCTCTCCTATATAAATGTCATATAAAAATACACGCTGAGGGTCACAGCTGCAGGGAAATGGCACTGTCTAGACTCATTAGCAGGTATTGATTGCTTACTTTCTGATTTCCAGGGCTCTCTGCTGAGCGTCTTCGTTGTCAAGAGCCGTCATCCAGTTGTCATAAAGTTCAGACACCAGCAGGCTGCCAGGAAGTTCCTTCAGAAAACTCTGCAGAAAACGACAGAGGGACGCTGATAAGACACTGTACTTATATTATGCCCTGTTACTAAATTACCTAGCAGTATGCAGTGTCGGAGGAAGTATTCAGATCCTTTACTTAAGTAAAAGTACTAACAATGGAAATGTAATTTAAGAAAGAGTATATAAGTACAAATACATAAATGTGCTTAAAGTATTAAAAGTAAAAAATACTAGTCAATCAAAAAATAATTCAATCTATTGGCAGTAAATCCTCATATTTGAAAAGCTGGAATCATTAAATGTTTTTACATGACTTAAACGATTATTAAAATTGTTTTATGTATGTTTTCATATGTTTTGTGTGCAAAAATCTTGATTTTTAAAGTAACTGGTAACATAATGATAATGCAGTGCAGTAAAAAGTACAGTATTTCCCTCTGAGGTTAAGTGAAGAAGAAGTACAAAGTAGCATGAGATTAAAATACGGAAATAACGTATAAGTACCTCAAATTTGTACTCAAGTACAGTACTTGAGGAAAACGTACTTTTGATTTTGGTACTTAAAGTATATTTTGGTTTGAATACAGGACTTTAAACTGTGTTTAGGGCTGCGAGTATGGAAAAAAAAACAAATTCCTCGATGTCAATATTTCAACAACATTGTAAATTTGCCTATTGGTGCTTTTACAGATATTTACACCATGAGATTTTGATAAATAATCATCAGTAATGTGAATTTAACGACTAAGTGGGTAAAGGCAAATCATAGAACAGCTGGAACAATCTGGTAGGTTCAGAAAACGACATCACTTTACTGTAATGTAGCCTTTAAAACTTGGAAAATATAACACTTATGATATTGCAATAACCAAAGTCAAAGGCAATATCTCATGTCACATTGATATAATATTGATGAATTGCCCTGCCCTACTAGTATCAGAGTATGTCTACACTGTGGTATTGCTCTAGTAAAAGTTCTTCCACCACTGTGCTGGTAGTGGTGGCGCCAGCTGCAGCAATAGTGGTATGGCAGTTGTGATTGCGGGCATGGTGGTGATGGTCACACAGTGGCATGCTTATGGTGTGGTAGGTACTATAGGTTGGTATGGTTGTATTAGAAGTAATGTGAGTGGTATAATAATGTGGTATAATATAAAATGGGAGCATACTTTGAGCAGCCCGACGAGCAGAACCACCGGCTGGCTCTCCAAGTCCACCTCCAGGCCGCCGTTGAGCTGCTCCCTGATGTCTCTCATGTTCTTGTTGTTGCACGGTCTCCGAAACACTCCCTCTGTGGACGGCCCACTCTTCCTCAGCAACACCAGCAGCTCCTGGTGAAAGGACGGGGACGAGGATAAAGGTGAGGTTATTGTGGTAAAAATAAAAACAAACTGCTGAGTGCATTTTGAGCTGAGACCAACCAACATGCAGATCATGTGGTTTCCTGTCGTCAAATTCTAAGAACTGGCAAAGGTTAGCTAAGTAGGTGAGTGGTTATTATTCATGTGTTTTTTTCAGCCTAGTTAGGAGAGATTTCTGCCCAAGATGGCAACACAGGTTGAGAAACAAAGGTGTAAATGTCAATCTGATCTGGGCATGAGCAGTTTGGCTGTTTGTCTTCAGTCTTACAGAAACTTGGGTGTTAAGAGGAAGTGATGAGATCTGACATTTAAGGTAGAAAGTCAACTCACTGTGACTGGTTTTGGAAGTGAGCATTGGTCTGGGCATATCTTGCAGAGGGGCTGTCCAAACAGCTGGGCCTTGGTGTCGGTATCGGATTGGCATGCTTTGTTCATGAAACTCTTGCCCTTTCTGAGCTTCCTCACCAGGTTCCACTTGGTTTCTGATGGCAGCAGAGACATGTTTGACTTAGCATGTTATATCACACCTACAGATGGAAGAATTCATCCAACACTTCTATTCACAACAATTTTAAAATTAGTGCAACAGAGCTGCAAAACCAGATGTGCAAGGATTGAGGGCAGAGTGCCTCTTCACTTGCTCACTCTTATCAGTTGTTAGATTTCCTCTTTCTGTCTCTGTGGTTGTTCTCTGTGGCATCATCCGTACACATGGCACAATTAATGAGCCACTCCCTCCTTAAAGAAACGGACACTTTTCAAACTCACCAATGGGCTGCTTGTCCTCCTGGTTATGCAGCTGCTTTGCCACGGTGGAGATCTTTGCATCGCCCTGGCAACAAAATATAATGACAACGTTATGTGGTGACAACCACGCATGAGGAACATGAGCAAGCAAGAGGGCGGAAGAGAGAGGGGGGTTGTGTTTTCTCGACCGCCCAGCACCACACGCCCTCGCCATGCCTGCGAACACGTGAATGAGTTAGAGTGGAATAATCCTACGACGAAAGCCAACAAATCAATCAGCTGTATCATTATTTATCATCTTCCAGTATGAAATTTTCATTTGTTTTGAGTGGTGATTCAGCTGTATGTTCTGCAGCCACAATCAATGCACATTTACATAATGTAGCTTTCTTTCATCATGAGTGGATAGGCACAGATGTCTTTCACAAACATGAATATTTTCAATCTCATTAAACCGTTGAAAGGTTTTGTTTTTTTTTTACTTACCTCAAGTGGAAACTCAATGAATTGTTCCATGCCACCTCCTGTTAGAGTTTTAGTCTAAATGATAGTGGGAGGAAAAGAGGTATTATTTAGTAAAAGTGCTTTATATATATATATATATATATATATATATATACACATAGGTTTCTATTGGACATGGTATAACGGGCAATGAGAGACTTACTGGGATGCTGCCACTCAAAACCTTCATGAGGACGTCTGGAGGGGAGGAAGCACAACCAGCTCTCGCTTTTGTGTCTTTAATTTTTCTGTGGCGAGAAAAAAGGAGCTCATAAATTTACCATTTGTCTTTTAACTCTTTGCACATCCGCCTGAGTATTCACATTCTTTTGGGTTTTACATCACCACACGAAATGTCTGTTATTTGACTTTTGTGCATATCAACCCAACAGGGCATACATTTAATGCTGTTATATACTTCTTCATTTTTTGTGTAAGTGGCAAAATCAACACCAAGTTCTCAAAAACATTGATTATTGAAGTATTATATTTCTGAATTTAATTAAAAACTGATTGATACCAACACTTAGAGTGATTTAGCTGACAGCTGTGTACTATCTGCAGCAATACTTTCTCAAGAGCTGGCCAAGTCTTATCAGTTATGAGAGTTAAACGCATGTTTTGTTGATACTATATAGATAATTAAATGGCTAATCTGAGATTGAATCTGTTTCTTACCTGTGTAGAGTATCTAACCAGCGTTCTTTCACCTCAGGCGAGCTGCAGGCAAAATAACAGCATGGTATGAGTTACTAATCCACAGAGAGAACCAAGCAGACCAGCAGAAACAGTGGGAGGAATGAGGCAAAGTGCGCACCCACTGCCTTTTTAACAACTCTGGTGGAAACTGTAACTCAGTCATGGGAACAGGAAGCAGCGTCACGGCGGCCCCCAACCAGACACCTTCCACTTCCTCCTAGACTTGGTTTGCTGCGGCTCGGTGTTCACGAGTGGAAACATGACGACGAAACAGATACGTGTGCCCACACGCGCACCTGAAGAGCTTCACCTCACCTTAACCTGTTGTTCACGGTGGCCTCATTAATGCCAGGCAGCTTGCAGGCATACTGAGCGGCATGTCAACAAGTGAGCACATGGTTTCTTGTCCGTGATCACCTCCATGTGATTGAGAAGGAAAGTTTCACACACTGAATCATAACCAGAGACATGCCATCATATTCAGAAAATAAATAACGTCTCGTTTTCAAACAAAACAACTCATATCCCTACAGGGGAATCTTCCTCTTCCAGGAAAACGTAGAAACTCAGAACAAATCCCATCAAGGGCATCATTTTCTAGGAATAAGAAAGAAACAAGCAAGAAACCAAAAAGTTTTATGGTTTGATTAATTGGCTTGTGAGAAACGTGGGAGTCAATGAATAACACAATTGAGCGTCACATCCTCAACCAGTGCCATTTTGTGCCTCTGATGAGACAGATGACTTGACATTTACTGGTGAGAGCAAATAAAATTTCTTGTAGTCGATTACTGTCTAGACAATAGGCATAAGGCGGTAGTTCTCCTGCACTTCGCCTTTATTGTAAAGGCCAGTATTTCTAGATAAAGTCAGCTGATGTTAATCCCCTCACATGAAGATTAGTTTGCAGGCCAGCTCCGCACTTCCTATTTTGCAACCTCTTATCTTGTGACGGCGCAGGGAGGACTTTCTCTTTGCTACTTCCCTTTTTTCATGAAGGATCATATGATCTTTTACTACACTTGTGAATTCTCCACAAACAGCTTCAGATTTCATTTATCTGACAAAAAAGAGACTGTCAAATAAGAAACAGGAACTCTGTGTTTGTGCGTTTATGTGCTTTTTGATCACGTTTGAAAACCAGTTTGACTTTAAGACCTTTAAAGGGATAGTTCAACATTTGGGCAATATGGAAGTTAGCTTTCTTGGCATGAGTTTGATGACTGACACCAATCCCTCATCTGAAGCTACAGTGAGCAGCCAGTTAGCTTAGCTTAGCTTAGCACAAAGCCTGGAAAAAGGGTGAAAGGTTGTCCGGACCTGTCTCCACTTGCTAAGTGAACTGGTGAATCTTCCACTTGGTATTGAGTGCCCTTGTTTGCAAGATAACCCTTGACAAATATTAGGGTAGAGATCTTTCCCTAAGAAATGAGACACCACCTCATGCAAATCAGCGTGGCCGACGTGCAGGCATACGTCACACGTAGTAGCGACGCAATGAAAATGCCGGCTCCAGCACTTGTGTTGTGGCGTGTGCTATGTTTATTCTTCTCCGTCTGATGAATCAGCGGAGAAGAAATGCTGAAAACAGGAGGCGCCTACAACGTCTGCTAGTTCTGATCGATTTTGTTCGGGTAAGTCGATTTGTTTAAATATTTTAACGCTGTGTTCAACCAAGTTGCTGACGAGTTCACGCTAGTCCAACCATCTGTTGTTTGTATAGCTTACATTCCGATCGTACAGTAACAAATTGTTTTCCATCTTCTTCTTCGCTGAAAGTGTGGGTCGCGGCTCCCCTGGAATCTAGGGTGGTTTTTTAAGTGTTGGAAACCACTTCCACCACCTCAGTTTTGTTTTGGGACCCCACTAGCCTAAACGTGAACGCGCACAACCAAGTGTGAGTGGGTATTTCTAGAGGAAGTATGGGTATTGGGACAGGCCCAAAGTCCTGGCTCGGATATCCCTTGGCTAAACCAATCCTCCCGAAATATTGGCTGTTGCCTCCAGAGTCTAAGATAAGATAAAATAAGATACATGTTTATTGATCCCATAATTGAGAAATTCCATCGCCATCAGATGATAGCCAATGGGTTTCGAGACTGCACTAAACATTGCAAGAGAGAAGGAAAAAAAACAAGTACTGAAGGTTCCTCCTGGTCAAAAACGGTTCAGACAGTCTTGTAAACTGTGAGGTGAATTTATACTGACTACAGGTGAATAGCTCATAGTTAATTTAAAACACTGCGACAAGGACAGACTGAATAAAGATGAGATGATGAGTTACGAGCCACAGGTGGTGTAAGTCACACCAAGAGCTAAAAATTGACATTTTAGTCATGTTTAGTGCTGCTGCGTTTTGGAGGGAAAAAAAGATTAAAACATGAATAGTTTCAATCTTGTAAAAAATTAAAATTACGGTATTTTTCAGCCCTATCTGCCGAGCCCCACTGCTACACACATTTTCAATAATGTCATGCTGTGCTTTTAAAGACACATCTCCTCTTCATCAGAGGTTAATTTATGTTGATGAGTGAGGGATTCCAGTTAAGAGTCCAATTAAGAGGAAGGATAACAAGAAGCTGAAGATCCTCACAGCCAAACATCAACACGATCATGCTTGTACATATGTATTCAGGCACGAAAGCATGCAAATCATAACACTTGACATGCTGCCATTTGTATGTGAGTCTCCTGCTGTGTGTCTGCTCACCGAAAACACACCCAACAAAAGGAGAGACCCCAGGCCAAGATGAGGGTCACCCTGAGGTTGATATCCCCCACCATTCCCTCCTCTTCCTCCGCTTCATCTTCAAAACCATAAAGCCAGATGTCTTTGAGGCTCACTCTGTGCTTCAGACGATAGCTGGCCGTCGACCTGTTCAAACAGAAGCAGAAAGAAGGCGATAACCATCTAAACACAACACTTTCTGTTTGCATTTCTCACGGCATTTTTTCAAGACTGAAATGCAGGTTTCAGTTCCATAAATTTCTGTCTCAGTAATTGACTTTTTCCCCCTCTCGGAACACAGAGATAAAAAGAGAGTATCACAGCAACACATCTTCCCAGGTTGTGAATGAGTTGGAGCTGAATAAAGAAAAAAAAGGTGTAATTCTTCACGTTTGAGCTTGTTTTGAAAGTTACACCTTCAAACAATCAAATGAATAGAGACCCTCCGTACAGACTCAATAATTCACACTTACCTATGAAAGAGGACTAGAAATGATTCAAGGGGAATTATTCCTTTCACGCTACGCCTCCACAGGCCACAATCTAGGTGTTCACAACATCTGATCATGACCCGCTGACCTCTGCGTGTTTGCAGCAGAGGTGCGCTGACTGGATCAAGGAGCGCAATAGATTGGAGGGGAAAATAGAAAGGTCAGAGGGGGGTGAAGACAAAGGGCGTGACCTTGAGGATCCAGGAGGTGTTAGGTAGGCAGAGAGGGAAAACACTGTACGTTCACAGTCACCTTCCAGAGCATCGCTCACACAGCAGATTACAGAGAGGTATGCCTTGTTCTATAGTTCTACCTGGCCCCAAGTTTGTTAATTCAATTTCTATGCAATCACCACCAGCATAATATCAAATGTAACCTATTAAATACTGGTTTAAACTTTACTTATACAGGGGCATTCTATGACAATGCCACAAAAATGAATAACAATAACTAGGGATTAGCAAGTACACCATTATCTGTATCTTTGTCTGTATCTGTATCTGTTAAACCCACCAAATTATATGTACTATACTTGGAATGGGCGAAGTTTATCCCAGAAGTGGGTGGAGTTTAAATCAAAGGTTTGTTGGACCTAATCGGAAGTTGTTATTTTAAGCCTAAAATTTATATGGATTCATCAGAAGTTGCAAATATTTATTGCCTATGAGAAAAGTATTTACAGAACACCCTAAGAATTGAGCTTCGGGTCATTTTTGATCACAAGAGTAATAGATTACACATAGCTACCAAAATGAGGATTTTCCTTTATCATGAGTATAGATGATGACACACTGTACTCGTATGATACTCGTACTCGTAACAAGTACGTTATCTGTACCGGGTACTCATTTCATCCAAGCATTCGGCTCAACCCTAATAACTAGTGCCTTGAAGGAATGGCTCATACACTTATAGAGTGTTGCAGGAATTTGCCAACAGTAAAAAGCTAATGGCTCTAAAGAAGCTACACCACAGTCACAAAGACTCCAACGTTGCCACCACAACATGACGTATTTCATGTAGCGGAACAAAATGTGAAAATATCTTAAGCTTAACCACAGACCTTATTTCAAACATCTAACCGAAAACAGATCCAAAAATCAACAGACTTCAGGTACCAGCAGTGCTAAATCGCCAACTAATTTCAGAGTTTGAGGACACGTTCCTGCACTACTCTATTTGTGGTATTTTCCAGAAAAAGATGAGAAGATAGTGTGTTAAGAACTGAGCCAAAGTCAGGATGTAGCTGACTAGATTTAGCTTAGCTTAGCACACAGCCTGGAAACAGGTGGGAAACAGCTAACGTTAGCTGGGTTAGTTCAAGAATACACCCATGGATTTATTTATACAAAGTAGGTTGTCTGTTAATTTCACACTTTAAGAAATAAAATAATTGTTTTCTTGCCAATTTATAGAGTTAGGTAGACCATGCCATAGAGGTAGGAGGCAATTAGCTTAGCACACAGCCTGGAAACAGGGAAACAGTGATTGCAGCTGGGTTCGTTTAAGATTTATTTAAACAATGAAGCTTGTCTGTTAGTTTGCACTTAAGATCATTCTTTTTTTGCTGATTCAAAGAGTTAGGTAGACCATTTCATATAGAGCTACAGTTAAAAGGCAATTAGCTTAGCATACATCCTGGAAACGGGGGAACCAGCTAATGTTAGCTGGGTTAGTTCAAGAATACACCAATGTATTTATTTATACCAAATAGACTGTCTGTTAACTTCACACTTTAAGAAATAAAATAATTTGTTTTCTTGCCAGTTCAAAGAGTTATATAGAGCATTTCATATGGAGCTAGAGCCAGGAGGCAGATAGCTTAGCATAAAGACTGGCCTTCAAAGACTTGACATTTCTATTTTATGTACAGATTAAACTAACGTGGTACAATGTTCTGATAAGTGTGCTTTAGATGCAGATTTTGTTAAGTTTAGACAATTCATGATTCTTGTCTTTAAACTAAGCTAAGCTAGGCTAACTGGCTGCCGGCTGTATTTGTTGTACAGACGTGAGAGTGGCATCAGTCAGACAGACAACACAAAGTGTATTTCCCAAATGGTCGTATGATTCTGTTGAGGCTGTTGTCATATTGATTTTGTGATTAATGATGCTTAGTCCTGAACCAATTTTTACTTGAAACTACTACTTACTTAAAACCCTCCTTATTTAGGGTAAAACTGGTGAAGCAGCCTACCCTTTTAATGTTTATTTTTTTTACAAGAAGCTAAAACAAAAACCAAAATGAACACTAATAGTACATTCATTTATGAGTGGTGAATGCTCGTATAGACTCAAAAGACTGTTTACTCTATCGTACTGTAGTCCCAGTTGTGCTCCCCTACTGGAACAGTGGGCAGGTTGTGGTACACAAATGAGTGTGATTGTCCTCCCACTCAAGAGCTATAAAACTTCCACTGGCTTTCACAAACAGCTCTAAACTGACTCACCAACAATTCAAAGCTTGTTTTTATCAGTTTATTCCGTTTGATTATGTGGGGTAAAATCTATTTTCATCTAATGGGAACAAAGGAAAGGGAGGTTTTCATGTTACCCACTGATACTAAGAACAGAGAAAACAATTTTGGATTTAAGATAGCATCACTTGTGAGACAGTGAAGCAGCATTTAAAGTGAAAGCACCACTGACATGTCTTGTTTGTCTTAAATGCAACAGTATTTGTGTTGAAATTGATGTGTTGAAATTACTTTTTGAGATAAACATTGAGTTTCCCCTCATGTGACTCCGCTCAGAGCAGGGAACCACCATGCTTTCTTCTTCTGTTAGTCCAAAACCAGAGTGACTAAACACAAACAGTTTCTGCTCTGGGAGATTCCCTAACAGTCCAAGTGTGCGGGCCAAAAATACACGTTTTGCTTTTGCTTCCTCTTTCACTCTCTCATTCTAACTGTACAAATATGTGTCATTTTTAGGCAGAAAGTTGTTTAATCAGCCGTATTTCCTATGTTTGTCAGTTCATTCAGTACTTTCCCAGTGGTAACTTTTTGTTCCATTCATTGTAGATAGCTTATGTGTTCCACGTGTTGACACTTGTTTGACTTTCTTCACATCCCTGGTGGGGTAACATGTTGATATCTACACTTCTTACTTGAGTTTGGCAAAGACAATGACATCGCTGAAGAGGAACAGGTGTCTCTCCTTGGTCTTGGAGCCCTCGGTGACTTGAACACACTCGTCCAGCAGCAGCTCTCCGTTCTCACTGGTGAGGCCGAGGACGAATGGACTCTGCTCTACAGAGACCCAGCAGGAAGCTTCCTCCCTGAGGATAAGGACATAAAAAGGATGACAAGTCTGTCTAATTTTGGTAAATATATTTCTGGATTACATGTTTTTTAATGGATTTTATAATATTTCCCAACCTCTAAGGCTGTAGAGCTGTGTCAGAGGTCACTGTTAAACATTTATTGCCACCAACCTTGAACTGTGGGTATAATTCCAACATACATTTTGGTGTAAATGGCTTTTAATGTAAAGCAAACAAGAAAGAAAACATCCTAGAAGTCTGCATTTGATGGGAAACCACCATCATACAAGAATTGGTGTTAACAGAAGTAGACCAAAGAAGTATTAAACACAATGATTTTAAGGACTCTTTCAACATTTTGGGGAAAAAACTGTTTGCTTTCTTGCCGAGAGTCAAATAAGAAGATTGATACCACTCATGTCTGTACTGTAAATATGAAATTGAAGCCAAGAGACTCTTTGCTAAGGTTTGCATAAAGACTGAAAGCAGCAGAAAACAGCTAGCCTGACTCTTGTTCCTCAAACTTGTCATTTTTACACTTTTATTTGACACCAATTCAACAAACCAACATAACATATTAACTAGTGATCTTCATGGTTCATTCCACCTGCACCTGGAAGTTGTCATTTCTGAGTTCGTAATTGAAAATTTTAACTGGAAAGCCCCCTGAAGTCGGAGTTCCCTCACTGACCTCGACCTTAGAATCCAATATGGCTGCTCTGTGCATCAACAGTAGTGAAAGCAGTAGTGACACACTGTTTAGCACTTCTGTCTTATTTGTGTCTCATTAAAATGGTCGTATGGTACTGTGTAACTTCTTTTTAACTTTGTCTATGTGTTGACATGTTGCTACAGTATGTGTGTGCGCAAAATAGCATGATGTGTAGTTATGTGATGGGCTATTCAATGCTTATTCTACTTATTCAACGTTTATTTAACCAGGGAGTCCCACTGAGATTGTACAATTCTTGTATAAGACAGACCTGGCCAAGGTTGCAGCCAGTCACAACAGTACAAAAAGCAACAATAAAACAGCAACTATTCAAACATAGTGGCCTCTCAAGAAAAGCAAGCACATGTCTCCATCACCACATTCTTTATGATGCCCTTAAATTCATCAGTGGATGTAAGTGTTTCTAATTTTAAATCTTTTTGAAGGTTGTTACATGTCCAAGCTGCAGAGTAGGAAATGTTCCCCAGATCTGTTAAAAACCCAGGTACATTAATCAGCCACTTAGAGGAACGTAGCTGGTAACTACCAGAGCTGACACAAAGATGGGAGCAGAGGTAGGCCGGAAGTTTGCCCAATAGGCAACTTTATAGATAAAATTCTACCAGTGCTGTTGTCTGTGAGTGGTTAGTGACGTCCAAGCCACTAATCATAAATTATGCAGTGATGAGTAAGCGACTTTGCATCTGTAATAAAATGTAGAGATGCATGGTATACTGAATCAAGGCTAAGTAAAATGGAGGAGGTTGCATGCATGTACAATATGTCACCGGAATCAAAAACAGACAGAAAAGTAGCTTCCA